ACGATTTTCAAAAATGGCGGCGCCCTGTCGGGAACATCCGCCAGTCTGTGGATAAATGCTACTTAGGTTTGTTTTCACCGAGTTACAAAATCAAAACTACTTTCTACTGGTAGTAAAATATGTATTTGATTGATGGCCAATAGGATTTTGCATGACATAGCATATAACATAACAATTTCTCTCCTGGCAGCGAGGTGGGTGTCAATATAATACTACTTACAATATTATTGTTACTTCGACCACAACCTCACTTCCGAGGAAGAAATCGTTATGTTACAAGTTGTGTTATGGAAAATCTTTATGGTCATCAATCATATACATATTTTACTATAACTAGTAAGTAGTTTTGAATCTGTAACTTCCGTGAAGCGATCTGAACACAAGTAAGATATCGTTTCAGGCTTCCACAACGCTCGCTTCGCACTCACAAACATAACCCATTTAGCACGAACTGCGGGGTCCTGTGGAAATCTGTGCATGGTGACACCATCACCCGACCCCTAGGAGCAATTGACGACAAAGCAACGATTCGGCATGTCGTCGTTGATGTCGAGAAATCATCAAAATGATGAGCGTGCTACACACTTTCTATACAACTAACTGAAAATCGTTCCTCATATGACGTCACTGCAGTGCTCTGGCGACAGAGTTACGTAACCTGTCTGTGGTTTCGTTGGCGGGCGAGAGGGAAGCAGGCGACTTTTTGGCCACTTTTAATCGCTCGGTATTAATTAACCACAAGTTTTTAAAGAATAAATTTGGTGTTCCGCATAAGACTAACCACAAATCTTTCATATGTAATGGTTAAAGAGTAACAAAAACAAAGTTTAGTGGTTCTTTAATGTATTAGTGCCAGGACGAGGAGATGAGGAGAGAAGGAGGGGAGGCTGTAGTTAGGGCAAGATCGGGACAGGAAGTGACGTAGAGGAGAGGAAATATGGAAGAGGGAAGTGAAAGCGGCAAAAGTCAGATACTGTAACTACACGTTTGAAAACAACTATTTAGAACTGATAAGTAAGTTATTGATTCAGCAAAGATGGTTCTCCAAATAGGCAGTCTTTCGTCAATATTGCAAGTTGAATCCGCTGTATTGACACACGTCATTAGGTGGTGAATAAAACATTTTATCTTACCTTCATGTAAAATACTTTAATTTCATTGGTCAATGAAGCTTTAACAATGACAATATTACCCGCTGCCACGGTAACCGCTAAACACTCTTCCGAGAAGCTGTATAGCTAACAATCGTATGAGGTCATAATATGACGCATGCAGTGCACAGAGTTCGAAAACCGTTCGATTAGCTGTTTTTGAGTTCACTATGTACACATTTATTTTACCGACTTTCACTGCTTTATCTGTTGTACATTGAATCGTTTGCACACTCAACTTAAACATAATTAACCATTTTTATAGCAGTTTTAAGCTTGTCAGGATATGTTTCGCTGACTTTAAAAATCCGGTCGAGAAACAGACGCCATTTTGTTTACATGTCAAATAATCGGTAGCGATATCCAAAATAAAATAAAATGATATTTTGTACATTTAACATGGCGGTAAGATAAATACGTTGTATGCTTCTCCCTCGGTAATACGGTCTGATGTAGCAGTGTCACCCGAACCGGTAGGCGAGGGATGACACTGCTACAAAAAGCGTACATCAGACCGTATTACCCGTGAGAGAAGCATACAACTTATAATATTTCCCATCAGTGAGAATCAGAATATGTATATAAAGAGAAGTAAACAATTTCTCTTATTGTAAAGTGACTAGTAAAGAACCCCTTTATTCTTTACACTCTGTACTTTTCCCAGGTGTTTTATGTGTTGGTACCGCCGAGGAGCCAGGCATGATTGATAGTATGGGTACAATACCTAAAGCCAATAACTGGTGTCTCCCGCTGTGACACAGCTGGACCTTAGCTCAAGATGGCCTACATCACAACTCACTCATGCACTCAATAAACAAATGCGCTGCTTAAAACATTTATGCAACTGACCTGTCCCTTTTACTAAAGTAAAGTGTCTGTCCGTTGTATTTACAAACTATTGTCCGCTACCTTTCATTGAACTGGAGCAGAGAATCAGATCAATTCCTTCAATCAGGCTGCCTCTAATGATGTGACAATAGCTGTAGACTATTAGCGATGACTTTTAGTTTTGTGTTTACTGACTACAAAGACTGTATCTACTACTGAATTCGATGATAAATGATGTATGTGTGAAAACCCCAGAGGGATTGAGGGAAGTATTGTCATTGTGCTCCACAGGAGGTTTGTTTCAGGCGAGAAGATCTCTGCTCGGCGGCAGAATCCACGTGTTTTCAACCACTGCTTTACCTTTTGCACATAGTTGAATCTCTATGGGGAATAATCGAGACTGGTTGTTCTCTAGCATTGATGTTGGACATTTAGGCTTCGGTGTATCTGACCAAAACTCGAATTTATACAAATGCTGCTTTGCCTGCAGTACTCATGAGGAGTAAAGACACATTCATTTATACAGTCAAATATACTCATGGAAACGAATAAGAGAACGCCACAAGTGTTCCTTTATTCTTTTCCAGGTTTCTTCACAAGGTATGTATTGCACTGTGGGTGAAGTTCTGGAAATAAGTATTGATGTTGTACATTTAGACATGGGTGTATCTGACCAAAACATATGTTGCTTTACCTGGATTAGTACTCATGAGGAGTAAAGACACATTCATTTATAAAGTCAAATATGTTAGTGTGGAGGTTAGGTGAGATACAGTTTGAATTTCGTTCAAGAATATGATGCCAGTGTGTGTGAGTGTGCTGTGTGTGAGAGAGTGCGTCTTTGCGTGTGTGCGTATGTGTGTGTGTGGTTAATAAGGGATATGTTGCATAACTGTGGAGAACAATGACATCTATATCTACTGTACAGTTATTTATGTGAGTGAGTGAGTGAGTTTAGTTTTACGCCGCACTCAGCAATATTTCAGCTATATGGCGGCGGCCTGTACATAATCGAGTCTGGACCAAGCAACCCAGTGAACAACTGCATGAGCATCGATCTGCGCAATTGGGAACCGGTGACATGTGTGAACCAAGCCAGCGAGCCTGACCACCCGATACCGTTAGTCGCCTCTTACGACAAGCATGGGTTACTGATGGCTCATTCTAACCCGGACCTTCACGGGTCCAGTTACTTATGTATTTTGTTCATGATCAAATACGCTGTCTGTGAAGTGCATATTGTTTACATATTTGTTTTAAAGAATAGATTGTTTGTGTTTGGGCTTATGTTGTAGCCCCATTAACGCAAACAGCCTATTCGTAAGAAACACTCATTGTTACAGAGGCTTTCTTGAGTGAGTGAGTGACTGAGCATTGCTTTACGCCGCTTTTAGCAATATTCCAGCAATATCACGGCTGGGTACACCTGAAATGGCTTTCACACATTGTGCCCATGTTCGGAGTCGAACCCGGATCTTCGGCGTGACGAGTGAACGCTTTAACCACAAGGCTACCCCACTGCCCCCTCATCTACTGAATCACTCGATGTATGTAACAGGGGGCAAAAATACCAAAGACCATTCTGTGTAATAGAGAGCATTCATTTCAAGCATCTCTGACTGTAGTGGTGTACACTCATAAAACGGATCACTCGATTTTCTGAGCGACAAGGAACCAAGGATCACTCACAGCAGTGTCACAGTGGAAACAAATCAATGATCACTCGATGTTACACTAAACATATCAAAGATCTCTTAGTGTAATAGAGAACATTGATTCCAAGGAACTAACAAAGTTCTTGGGCACACTCACATAACGGATCACTTGATTATATGAGAGACATTCATATCCAGGCCCATAGGATTATAAGAGACACAACTGAATATAACATGGTACATTCAAATGAAGGATCACTCAGTTTTACGCTGTCTATCGCCGGTGCATTTATATCACAAACATTTGTCAGGGCAGGCACCAAGGACCACTAATTGTCATGGGAGACACATAATGAAGATCGCTGATTGTTGTAGCGGCACCTGTGTCGGGGGCCATTCGATGTTGTGTTGATACTGGCCACATGAGCAATCGTACTCTTCATTCATAATCGTTTTATCGATATCCAGGTAAATAAAATTGTCACGCCATTTGTTGATAACGCGAGTAGCGCTGATATATAAGTGTGTTACGATAACAATCGGCCTGTCAAGTCACACAGTGTACTTTTAGCCTCCACATAGTCTGGTTAAGATGTTGGGGTCATCAGCGCCGCACATGTGTTTGTAGGGTTACACCAGGTGGTCACTGTCGGAATATTGTGATGGAACTGAACACTGTTACAGATGACGTAATTATACTCACACATTCTAGCCTTGTGGTTAAAGCGTTGGCTCGTCACGCCGAAGACCCGGGTTCGATTCCCCACATAGGTACAATGTGTGAAGCCCATTTCTTGTGTCCCCGCCGTGATATTGCTGGAATATTGCTAAAAGCGGCGTAAAACTTAATTCACTGATTCACTCACTGGCTCACTGACTCCCTCAACTTCCAGCATTATATAGGTCATGTGTTTACCTGACCACCCTGAATTTCGGACGAGAACATTATGACCAAAGACAATATTTTTAAAATGAACACTAACAATAATAATCATAGTATGAATTCAACTAAACTTACATCTATGGCCTATCATGCTATTCGCAATTCACAGAACCGACAGATGTCATATAATGAGTATCATTTAAAGTAAATTTCCTCACCATAACACGATATTTGAATAAAGACAATAGACATTATACATTCAGAAGAAAAGTAATGTTTAAGTCATTATTTTAAATGCCTAGACATATTAGAGAGTTAAATTTTCACAAAAGATAAAACTAAAAAACATGTTCGTAGTTACTTTGGGATATAAGTATTAGCTGTAATTATTTCAAAGCATGTTCCACACGGGCTGATGAATACTTAGAGCCTAGTCCACCATCACTCGTAGTACAAAGGTGCACGTGTACTCTCTCAGGTGAACATATAGTGACAGTGCGATATCATCCCTCAGTGACAACCAAGACTGCTCTTTTCACAATACGGGTAGATAAAGGTAGGTGGAGATGCAACGTATGTTTTATCATTGGGAATATTTGTGGAAGTACTAGATCGCTTAATTCTATTTTTATTGTCGGTATTTCGGAACAATATAGATGCTCGCCAAATCTCACAAGATGCGATTCTAATGAGGCCACAATGACGACTTCAGTGATTGAATTGAACGAACGGGGAAGAACAGTTATAAGTATTTATGGGTTTGGTACGTGATATATATAATTATATTTTATAAAGTTAGACAGAAAGCAGAAAGATTCCCCCATATGCGATGATGTTGATGGGTCAATCAATCAAGTGTATTTCGTAACAAGGCCTCAGGCCCACGTACAATACATGGGTTGTACATAGTGAAACATACATGATGATATCAGTGATACATTTATCTACCGTGGCCTCACTATCACCTTCGATCTTGAACTTTTTATTGTTGTTACGATGTGTATCCAGCTTCATACAGCTTGACTCCCCACATATAGGTCACCCTTAAAGTGTGACGCCGAGTGTACTTTCAAACTGTTAGGATTGTAATATACACCCTTCGGAGCAAAGCCAAAACATGCCACGCCAACCTCGTACATCGTACTGGTTAAGAATGCTGTCACAAAGCGGGGATCTCTGTTTGTTTGTTTGTTGTTTAACGCCGCACTCAGCAATATTCCAGCTGCCAGGCAGTGGTCTGTAAAGAATCTGGACCAGACAATCCAGTGATCACAGAATGAGTTTCGATCTACGCAATGAGGATACGATGACATGTGTCAACCGCGTCAGCAAGCCTGACCACCCGATCCTGTTAGTCGCATCTGAAGATAAGCATTGGTTACTGAAGATCAATTCTAACCTAGATCTTCACGGGTAGAGACAAGCATAGGTTGCTGAAGATCAATTCTAACCCGGATCTTCACAGGTCAGGTCTTATGTTGACTATCATGTCAAACATTCCTGTCTTCTCGACTGTGAATTTATACGTAAGTATTTTGCATCATGGATACGTAAATTTGCCCCCGTGCATATTGTTGACATTTGTCAACAAGGTGTTCAAATACACCCACAGAACCCACCAACAGTGTATTTTGGCATAGCCATGATACGGTTTTCTTCTATATAGTATAATTCTATATTTGACTGCAATACTAAACTGTCTCTTCTGCTTTCTTCAGATCAGAACATGAAGGCTGTGTTCGCTCTGTTACTCTTGACTATCCTCGTGGAGAGGACGACTTCCGGCAAATTACTGCTGATCATGCTGGACGGGTTCCGCTGGGACTACTTTGATCAGGGATTACAGCTTCCAGCTTTTGACAAGATATTTCATCGGGGTGTTAAAGCAAGGCGGCTGATACCGGCCTACCCCTCCGTGTCTTATCCCAATCACTACACGCTGTTAACAGGTGAGTATACACTTACCATTGCACATAGTTAACAGGTGAGTAGAAACTTACCATTATACGTAGTTAACAGGTGAGTAGACACTTACCATTGTACATAGTTAACAGGTGAGTAGACACTTACCATTATACGCAGTTAACAGGTGAGTAGACACTTACTATTATACGTAGGTGAGTAGACACTTACCATTATACGTAGTGAACAGGTGAGTAGACACTTACCATTATACGTAGTTAACAGGTGAGTAGACACTTACCATTATACGTAGTTAACAGGTGAGTAGACACTTACCATTATACGTAGTTAACAGGTGAGTAGACACTTACCATTATACATAGTTAACAGGTGAGTAGACACTTACCATTATACATAGTTAACAGGTGAGTAGACACTTACCATTATACGTAGTTAACAGGTGAGTAGACACTTACCCATAGTTAACAGGTGAGTAGACACTTACCATTATACATAGTTAAAGGTGAGTAGACACTTACATTGTGTATTATAGTTATTATACGTAGTTAACAGGTGAGTAGACACTTACCATTGTACATAGTTAACAGGTGAGTAGACACTTACCATTGTACATAGTTAACAGGTGAGTAGACACTTACTATTATACGTAGTTAACATGTGAGTAGAAACTTACCATTGTACATAGTTAACAGGTGAGTAGACACTTACCATTGTACGCAGTTAACAGGTGAGTAGACACTTACCATTATACGTAGTTAACAGGTGAGTAGAAACCACCCATTATACGATATTTACAGGTGAGCCGAAACAAACCGTTACATATTGTAACGGATAGGTCTTCTTTGGCCCACAAATTCATCTGACAAACAACTTTAGCTTAGATGAGACGCTAATCAGACAGGTAGTTTTAACCTCATCAAATGGCACCTATCACAGACGACTTTCAACTGATATGTGTTTTCACCTACAATTTCATTTCTCATATATTTAAAGAATGAATTGTGATGTTTTAAACATATATTTAAAGAATGAATTGTGATGTTTTAAACATATATTTTGCAAGTCCAGGAATGTATTTTTAAAAGTATCAATTTCCGAATTACATTCACAAGTATCGTATACGTATATCCCTATAGATATGCCTTAAACAAATCCCAATAGGTCCTTAATTAATTCGCATCATAGCAATCAATACATGATACCAAAGTAAGGCTTCCGGTTTTAATGTCATGTAATGGGAAACCTTTACAGGCCTGTACGTTGAGTCTCACGGTTTTGTTGGCAACGAATGGTATGACGTCACTGCGGAGAAATACTATTCCCCCTGGTACAAAGAGCTTACTCCCGAAGACAGATCCTTCTTGTACGCTGAATCAGAACCATTGTGGGTCAGCGCCGTCAGACAGGTCAGCACTCTCACCATCGGTTAACCAGGGTAGAATACCCACAAACTGGTGTGATAAAGACCCTGGGTCCGTCACAACTACGTTTTAAGAATGATTCGATTACCACGACGCGAAAAAAACATATACTAGTATATGAAATCTCTTCTGAAAAGTGAATCTGTACGCTGTCGAGTATAACATGAGCCTTTCTTAATTTCATGAGTAGAGATGGGGTAGCCTAGTGGTGAAAGCGGTAGCTCGTCATTCCGAAGACCCGGGTTTGAGTCCCCACATGGGAACAATGTGCGAAGCCCCTTTCTGGTATCCCCCGCCTTGATATTACTGGGATATTGCTACAAGCGGCGTAAAACCATACTCACTCACTCTTCAATTCATGAATCACTTACAAATACTGATGATTTTAAGAGTTTGCGATTGGATAACAGTTAAGGGTGAGTGAGTGAGTTTAGTTTTACGCCGCACTCAGCAATATTCCAGCTATATGGCGGCGGTCTGTAAATAAACGAGTCTGGATCAGAGAATCTAGTGATCAACAACATGAGCATCGATCTGCGGAATTGGGAACCGATAATAACAATGAAGATACAACTAGAATATGTATCAGGGTTGGGATATTGAGCAAGATACATAAACAATTAATGGGCATTGGCGATACCATGCAAAATGACAAAAAGAGTTGAAAAAGTCGGATAAGCTTTTGTGTGATGCATCAACACTCTAAATACTGAAAGGAAGGTTTCTTTATATTTTATTTAGAAGTGTGTGAAGAACCATTCATTTTGTTTTGTGATTTAACGCTGTATTCAGCAATATTCCAGTTAAATGGCGGCGGTCTGCAAATAATCAAATCTGGACCAGACAATCAAATGATCAATAACATGATAATCGATCAGGATATTTGACTTCCAATACAAGTCAGTGAGCCTGACCACCCGATCCTGCTAGTCGCCTCTTACGACAAGCAAGGGTTGCTGGAGACCAGTTCTAACCCGGTTCATCACGGGTTGAGATGAAGTATTGAGTTATATAAATAAGATACCGTATGGGCATTCACCAGCTGCTTTGCAATTGTACAAATTGTACAATTGATTGGATTTTGTTTTTACAAGAACAAGAGGGTGCACATGTTCCACTGGTTCGGATGTGAGGTGCAAATAAGAGGAATTAGACCTACGTTCTGCGCTAAGCATGACGGTCTCCCTTCCATCACTGACTTTCAGCACGACCTGGAGGAAAGCCTGCAGCTGTTTCTCAACGACAGTACAGATCTGGCAGGTAACCTCTAACCTAGTCTCCCCGTGAAGATCTGGGTTAGAATATTGATCTTCAGTAACCCATGCTTGTCGTAAGAGGCGACTAACGGGATCGGGTGGTCAGGCTCGCTGACTGGGTTGACACATGTCATCGTATCCCAATTGCGTATATCGATGCTCGTGCTGTTGATCACTGGATTGTCTGGTCCAGACTCGATTATTTACAGACCGCCGCCATATAGCTGGAATATTGCTGAGTGCGGCGTAAAACTAAACTCACTCACTCACTCACTCTAACCTAGTCTGTCTCATGGTCTCAGAACCGCACTATTTTGCCTTTCGCCCCGCCCAAACTGCAGTTCTAAAGCCTTAAATTTAGCAAGTCTAGATTTCCTCAGGTTCAGGGTCTGTTATCATCTGCAAGAAAACTAACTTCAGGAGTCGGGTTACAGAGTAAACATATCGCACTGTCATAGCTGGCTTGATCAGCATCTTGACCAGTGACCAGGGTTCTCTGCCTACATTTTTAATGTCAGCTCTTAATTAATAAGGTCAGCGTGAAGCAAAAAGCTAGTGAGGTTACGACCATTGTATAATTCTTGGTCTGATTGCATGGGATTCTAACTTATTCAATCGCTAATGGCACCAATATAAATCTCCATTTTGACCATGTCACTACTCCCATGAACATTTTCATCTTTAAGAGATGTAATGAGAGATCCATGCGAGAGTTGCCATGTGTTTCACTGTCAATGATACGCTGTCATCTGAAAAGAAGTATAACTATATCCTCTCCGTACAGAGTTAAAAGTGGACATCGATTGTTTACAGGGATTTTATAGAACGCAGCATTCCACCACTGTATATAATCGAGTCTGGACCAGACAATCCAGTGACTAACGTTATGAGCATCGACCTACACTGGGATTGCATTAACTAGCATTCAGCACTAACTCATTTCTACAACAAGGGCCGGTGGGGTAGCCTAGTGGTTAAAGCGTTGGCTCGTCACGCCGAAGACCCGGGTTCGATTCCCCACATGAGCACAATGTGTGAAGCCCATTTCTGGTGTCCCCCGCCGTGATATTGCTGGAATATTGTTAAAAGCGGCGTAAAACTAAACTCAGTCAGTCAGTCAGTCTATAACAAACTTCCCAACCGCCCCTCTCATGCAGTGTTTCTGCTGTTTAGTGGTCTACCACGAGAAGATAGACGACCATGCACACAGATATGGACTCAATTCAAGCAATTTGATTTCGGCAATTCTGGAAGTAGACGAAGAATTTTCCCGACTGCTTACAAAATTCGCCCAAACTGGATTGGAAGACCATGTTGATGTAATGGTATTCTCTGACCATGGAATGACCAGCATATCCCCGTCACATGTCGTCAACGTGAGTGACGTCATGCCGACGTCATGTGTCGACGCCATTGTCAATGGATATGGTTCTCATGTGTACATTTGGTCAGAAGTTGATTGTTTACAAAAGGTGAGTACGCCCAAGTAACAATCGATGTTGACTGGACTGGAACATTTTCTGGACACAAGCCTTAAAAACATTCAGAAAATCTCGTTAGGAGCCGCTATTTAAATTCGACAATCGGCTATTCCAATACATTAATTATTGTTTCCGTAAACCGTTTAATTTAAATGTGGTAATATATCTGTTGATCCATTCGTCACCACTCGCCTCTTTCCGTAACCTCCAATGCTTGTCCCGGAATAGCACGAGCTGGTCACGAATGGCTTGTCCCGGAATAGTACGAGTTGGTCACGAATGCTGTTGATCCTGTTTCCGAAAAGAATGACCCCGCAGTGATATTGCTGGAATATTGCTAAAAGCGGCGTAAAACTAAACTCACTCGCTCGAAAGGAATGTTGATCTTTATCATGATAAAAACACTAATACCCGTAGTTCCTATCGAGCTATGATATTGTTTTAAAGTAATCATGTTCTCTAGAACATGGTAAAAGATATATTCATAATGTTCTCTCGCTAGAGTGTAGCTATTCCTGCAAAAAATAGTTCTCACACTATAATATCGCGTTCAAAGACCGTCGCAATAATGGCAACCTGAAGCTTCTCCGTATTATATATTATTAGTGACAGTGGTTCTGAAAGTAGTACTAATGTTCATTTGAACAACACATATCTAATTATAATATACTAACCAAAAGAAGTAACAATAAAATTCAATCTTTCATAGCATGACCACAGTAAAAATATAAAATTTGGTATTTCTTTTGTTTTAGTAGTTTAGCTCTGTTCTCGTCTTGATTTGGTGTTCAGATGTGACGACAGGAATCCTACTATTTCTTTTTATCAAAATGTCTTAAGTTTTTAAACGAAGATATGACATGCTAATGGCCTCGACTTGGGGGAAGCTGTTTAATATCTACTGAACACTACGTAGGTATACGACGTCTTGAAAGACTACAGTCCTCACTTCAAAGCGTACCTGAAGGACGATATCCCCGACAGATGGCGCTTCAAACATCACAAACGTATCCCACCATTGATACTAGTTCCAGATATGGGATGGTACATTGACACGGTAAGTACTTCTGGCTTCTAAGAGTTAATTCAGATTTAATCAAATTAATTATCAAATGCAGCAATACTTAAGACACAAGATTGCGAATACGTTTTCTGCCCTTGACAGTTGATGCTTAACATGAATATATTATCAGACAATAAGACATATATTGTATGTACACCCTTAGAAATACTTCTCTTGAGTCAACCATTGCGTTTACGTCATAAACAATGGAGGACGTACGGTCGTATCATGTTCAACAATGAGGCAATTTATCGCCATTGCCTCCCTGACCAATCAACATTCAGAATGCCGAATGTACTTGTTTACACACCGGAAAGCTCGATCTTGCAAGGTTTATTCATTCTTGATATGAGTGGTATCTTCACAGCTTTTGGACCAAGTAAGTTTTGTTTCACATTTACTTGTTACATCGTTTTAACATATTTCAGTTGTCAAGTTAAAACGTAAGAATAAACCAAATCATGAATACGTTCAATATCTATACTCAGTTTTGAATGCTTGTAGGCTTTGTCCCTGGTGTTACTGCAGACAAGTTTCAGCCGAACTTTGGCTTCTTCAACTATGATACCGGTCCAATAAAGCAGAACTTCACAACGTAGACCTGTACCAGATCATGTGTCACATTCTGGATATTGAGCCTCGTTCTCACAACGGCACGTGGTCACGTGTTCGTCACATGATCAAGAACGTTTCCGGTTATCCACTGCTGTCTTCCGCTATACCTACGGCAGTTGCATGTATACTGGTAGCTCTGTGTTATTGTTGTATCGCCGGTAATCCACATTAACGACAACTTGCACTATCCACTGCTTGTGCTTGCTTTTGGGGAGCATTTCCAAACACTTACTTATCAAGAAAACAATAGCAATTTACTCTTTGCGTTGGTAACCTCAAGTTACATGTTGATAAGGCCTGCTTTCAATTAATAACGTTTCCTGAAAATCCATATTCTTGGTTTTACTAATGGTCTATTTTGTTGCGTTAATTGACCAATCAATGCTCGGTCATCTCTTACGTATCACGAGAACAATAGCAATTTACTCTTTGCGTTGGTAAACTCAAATTACATGTTGATAAGGCCTGCTTTCAATAAATAACGCTTCCTGAAAATCCATATTCTTGGTTTTACTAATGGTCTATTTTGTTGCGTTAATTGACCAATCAATGCTCGGTCATCTCTTACGTGTCAGGAAAACAATAGCAATTTACTCTTTGCGTTCGTAAACTTAACTTACATGTTGATTCGGCTTGCTTTCAATGAATAACGCTTCCTGGAAGTCAATATTCTTGGTTTTACGATGGTTTATTTTGTTGCGTTAATTGAACGATCAATGCTCGGTCATCCCTGGATTTTAATAAAACTATCAATGCTTCATAAATGTCCATGTCCCGATGACAATATTTCAATGACTTGTTTGTGTGTTTCTGGTTGTTACTCACAGCTTACAATTCAATATTCCAGCTGTGTGTATTCCAGACAATCCATTGATTGACATCATGAGCATCGATCTGCACAAACGAAATACGACATTGTTATGAGGATGTGTTTTTGTTGATTATAATGTCACATTAATTCACTTTTAGTTGTTATGGGTCACAAATGTTTAAAGCGCCGAGTGTGGATTTGAACTCACACCTTGAACTTGGGCTGTGTATTTTCACCTGTTAAAAGTGGGCTGGGAGTTACCTCCCCTTTATTTTGCTTCCGGTCGGATTGTGGAAGCTGTGAATAATTTCTAGATGGTTGTAGTCACTAGAATTCACTGTTACAATTCACTAGAACCGTATAATAGGGACATAAGGGATGATAGATGAGATGTAGAGGGGGACTACTTTGGATTTACGCTCATCTGTCTGCTAACATCGACGTTTCAAGACCTACCACTCTAAATAGGCCTCGTCTACATTGAACTTCATCAGTTGTCAACAATCTTCAATCAATACATCTGTTTTAAGGGGAATATCCAAACTTTGGTGAGTTAATATTTTAGATTTGTGACCCAATATTTTAGATGTGTGATCCAATAGTATTGTATTAGAAATCTGTACTGTCATTCATTGTAACCTTGATATATGTAATTGAATATTATAGACTCGTCTGTGTTTTATTTTGCTGGTTTAAAGGGGGACTCACAAGCATTTTATCTCAGTAATTTCTAAACCGTAACAACATGCATAAACTGACCACCCGAATGTGTTTGTAGCCAGTTAAAAGCTGCCTGGTTTGAGCTGCTGAAGACCAGTTCTTACCCACAAGGGAATTCACGGTTATGCCATGAAAATTTGAAAACAGTTAACAATCGTGCTACACAAGGTGTTCTGCGCAACTACTATATAGGTCAAAAGGCAATTGTCTACAAGCATATAATTTTGTTGAAAATGACAACAGTAAATTTTGTGGCTGAAACACATTTTTAGAAAGAATGGATTGAAATTAATTAATCAACTTTTTGTTATCGTGGGATTAGAGCGTTCGTTCCCGAGTCACAAACGGGACGGCTGTTATGCGTATCGGGGAACAAAGGGAAACTGCTCTAAACTTAAGACTTGATTTGGGGAACCTAAACCTGTAAGACTTTGATTTGGGGAATTACTCATGCATCTCACACCCTGTCAACAACTCAATAGGTCTGATTTCAGTGGCTTTTCTAGGGTTGGCTTGAAATTGGGACTCACGCTTTTATTACTCATGTGACGTGCACTGCTGCGGCTGCACACCAAACTGGTTTTATAGTGCTAGCTCATTTCGACCATTTAATTTAACACAATAGGTCTGATTACCCAGTGGCATTTCTGAGTAGGGAATATGTATTTATGCTTTGGTATGACGCGTTCGGGGACTTGGCCAAATCCTCCCGGCAGCCTTAGACAACGGTATCCCAAGATATGTATTTTGGACATGGCCAAATCTGCGGTCCTTGAGGTTGAAAGCACTGCCTCAGCGCTGAACAATGTTGAGAACTCTGTCAGATCGTCAATCGAGACGAAAACTACCTATAAGCCTGCTGGTAAAAACGTTACTGTTACTTCTCCATGTCTATGGTTAATAGGGACACAGTCTGGTGTCCTGTAACTGTATCCTCAACTTTCAACTGCACACTGGAAGAATTGCTATAGACTTGAACAAAGTACCGCCTCGTGGGTCTGGTTCGTAGAGCGTCTGTCGGGAGGGTGGGTGATCAGTAGTTCTCTAGTGCTCAATATCACGAATTTGTCAAAAACAATGATCCCTTGGACGACGGAAGCGCATGTAAAATATAACCATTCTGCTTATCTACAATGGTAGGTAGGAACGTTCCCTCCGAAAGGTGTCACCTTAGTGCGTTAACAATATACAATTATAGTGGCTTTTCTGACAACCCGATGGTTTTACGCCACTTTTAGCTATATCCCTGCAGTATCACGGCGGGGGAAACCAGAAATGGGCTTTACACATTGTATCCATGTGGGGAATCGAACCCGGGTCTTCAGCGTGACGAGCAATCGGTTTAACGACTAGGCTATCCTGAGCAACCGTTCGAACACAAAATGCATTGGAGAACCACTCTGATGAAGACCTCTCGATTAGCCTCTAGTCCAGACAGCAGTGTATACTCCTGAAAGACTCCTTGACACTCACCAAGTCTGAGCGCACTGAAAAAGCGCCAGTAGATAACGGCTTCCGACACTATTCAAACTCTGCAACAACGTTGTGCAGTTCAGTGCAGTCGGTGCGTTCAACCCACATTTTGGCAGCACTTCACTGAAGAGGCGGTGGGGTAGCCCAGTGGTTAAATCGTTCGCTCGCCATGATTCCCAACATGGGTACAATGTGTGAAGCTCATTTCATGTGTCTTCCGCTGCGAAATTGCTGGAATACTGCTAAAAGGTAAAACCATACCAACTAACTGCAAAAAAAAATACATATCCTAATATGATAAGTAAAATGTACAATAGACGCCATCTTCTCGATCTTAAATGTACAAGGGAATTACATATGAAATGGTTCCGGTGTTAAGAGGTGTATTTATTGTTATTATTTGCCCATTTTGGGCGTCTTTTAATGCACACAGTTAATGGCACACAGTTACAGACATTTATCTGTGAAACTGGCGCCCTTTTATAATCAGTAAAGCTTGACAAACCATGTGTTTAAATTTCACCAGGAAATGAAGCTAAAAAACAAAGTTTGCCTTTGAAAAAGATATACCGACGCGCTGCACTGTGTTGATTAAGGATGATTATCTTTAAACACAGCGATGTTTTGCTGATAACACGTTGGTTCTGTGGGGAGGCATTAACAGCACGAAAACCAAGTCAAATCGGAAATATACACATGGAAAAAAGTATCGCAACAACCCTTTTTTTCATACTATCAATAGCTTACCATTAGCCACAGCAAACGAACTTATCCAGACCTCAAGTTAGCTTACTTTGTGATAAACTGTCCGCCAAGGAATGCTTAAATGACGAAAAAGAACAAGTTTTGTCAGAGACGCATGCATGTCAAATTGGCTCATTTTATAGTAGTGATACCTATGGTCGTATGACGTTAACAAGTGCGACCATTTTCAAGATTCGGGCTTACAATCCTCAACAAAACCCAAAGTATTAATAACCAAGCACAATGCCAATATCTGGTGTAACATCCGCCAACTGCAATAACATACAGACACACATAATTATGATATGAATATACATGGCTATATGGGGGTTAAAAATCATAGTTTTTGCGATATGTTTTTCTATGCATATACATGTACATATGTTCCCAGTATAAACTGTTCCATAGCATTAATTCCCCTGAGAAAGACAATGCGAGGAATTTTAGGAACAGATACCCTTTTGACAGTAATCCCAAACACTGACTTAGATGGTCAAGAAGTGCACAAACGGATGTGAATGAGGATCATAAAGGCGAATAAGGATATGACACAGGTGAATAAGGAGATGACACAGTCGAATAAGGAGATGACACAGGCGAATAAGGAGATGACGAAGGTGAATGAGGAGATGGCAATGTTGACAAAAGAGAATGGGTAAAATGCCAATGTTGACAAAGGTGAATGGGGAAATGACAATGGTCACAAAGGTGAATGGTGAGTGAGTGAGTTAGTTTACGCCGCACGCCAGCACTCAGCAATATGGCAGCGGTCTGTAAATAATCGAGTCTGGACCAGACAATCCAGTGATCAACAACATGAGCATCGATCTACGCAATTGGGACCGATGACATGTGTCAACCAAGTTAGCGAGGCTGACCACCCGATCCCGTTAGTCGCCTCATACGACAAGTATGGTTTACTGAATATCAATATTCTAACCCGGACCTTCACGGGTCAAAGGTGAATGGGGAGATGACAAATGTGACAAAGGTGAATGGAGAAAGACAAAGGTGAATGGAGAAAGACAAAGGTGAATGAGGAGATGAAAAACCTGAATGAGATGAGAAAGGTGCAATGTGGATATGATAAAGGTGGACTGACTGAGTTTGGTTTCACGCCGCTTTTAGCAATATTCCAGCAACATCACGGCGGGGGACACCAGAAATGGGCTTCACACATTGTACCCATGTGGGTATTCGAACCCGGGTCTACGGCGTCACGAGCCAACGCTTTAACCATTAGGCTACCCCACCGCCCTGATCAAGGTGGAAGAGTAGATGAGAAAGGTGAATGGGGAAATGACAAAGGTGAATAGAGAAAGACAAAGGTGAATGGGGAAATGACAAAGGGGAAAAAGGGATGCCTCACAATATCAACATATAAATATTGCCGAACTACGTTTCTAACCATCACAGTCGTGTGTGTGAGCATGTGCGTGTGTGTGTGTGTGCGTGTGTGTGTGTGTGTAACAAATCCATAGACAGATGTCAAAAGAAGACAAATTCGTCTGTAGTTAGTGGATATCTTTCCATATGTACAACAGAACACTGCTGAACCTCACCGATGTGCGTCAGTCTTCATTCTACTGCCCCTGACGTATCCGAAATTATCGCGTTTCGCAACATTATGTCAACCATTCTGTAAATACTTAACTTGCTGTAATATCTAATGAATGTCAATCTGTCAGTTGAAACGTGTCACTCGGATGAGCACTTCATTATTCATGGCTTCGAGCGTGACAGTAATGGACAACTGAATTACCAACATGAATGTATCGCCACACATTCATGACACACGGAAGTGATATCACCAGACGAAATATTTCCCCTTTTCAACAAGCGGTAATTGGCAAACTTCGCTCAGTGATTACTCTCTGTCGTCCCGAGGTCATGTGTCATGGTGACTTGTCAAGAGAAATCGTGAAAAATTTGCCGAGCGATCCATTCGGACTTGGGCGAGTCGATTACAACTCTCAGGTAGTTTAGCTTAAGTGTTTCTTTGCATTCTTTCGCCCAGTGACACAAAACAGCCCGTGTTAGCTTAGTTCACTTTGACCCAAATAAAATACGGAAATTGAACACTCCGTATTGAATCACAATAGATCAAAACGAATTGAATGCACTGAATTGTGTACCGAATCCAACGGAAACGCCCCTATATGCACAGTCGTCCGGCACACGCCAGTGGTATATGGTACAGCATAGAGGCAGTATATTTACACAGTGGGAGTCACGGACTGTGTGATACGTATCAGAGCCCTCCATCAGCCATGAAACATCTTACTGCGAAAGAGAAGAAGGTGTACACGGATGTTTTTAATGATGTTGATGTTAACGGCGATGGGTGCATATGCAAATCGGAGATCGGGCAATTGTGTGTGAAGTTGGGGTTTGTTTTCGACGATTCACAAGTCGAGGTAAGACTTGTCTGTTTACCTTCATGACAACGATACTGCAGTAGAGCATGTCTAAGCATTTGCTGTTACTGTTTCAGTACAAGACCAAGAGGTAATTTCTAAACACAATTACGAGACCAGGGGTGTCTCAGATTTTGGGCGGTGGGGTAGCCTAGTGGTTAAAGCGTTGGCTCGTCACGCCGAAGACCCGGGTTCGATTCCCCACATGGGTACAATGTGTGAAGCCCATTTCTGGTGTCCCCCGCCGTGATATTGCTGGAATATTGCTAAACTTGGCGTAAAACCAAACTCACTCACTCACTCACTATTATACAATAGATTTTGTATTTTGGTGGTGCCAGAAAGCTTCGATGCTGGTTCGACCTGTTCGTCACGATTATTTTGCAAAGTTTGTCTGCACCATCCCCGAGTTCGTGGACTTAATGAGGCGGTGGGGTAGCCTAGTTGTTAAAATGTTTGCTCGTCACGCCGAATACCCGGGTTCTATTCCTCACATGGGAACAATGTGTGACGCCCATATCTGGTGTCCCCCGCCATGATATTGCTGGAATATGGTTAAAAGCGACGTAAAACCATACTCACTGACTCTAAGTTGGAGTTATAGGCGTGACATGGTATGATCACTGGCGGTTCAGAAGGGTCCTCGAACCCCACCCCACCCCCTTTGAAAATGAAATCCACACTGAAGATTTTTTTGCGTTGTCAGGGTTTCGAACCCTGAACAACCCCACCCACCCCTTTCAAAATTCCTGGATCCGCCCATGTATGATGGAGTCTACAAATGAGATGCCTGCATTGACTAATGATTTGATATATACCTATATTTCCAGCAACTATTTACTGAGCTTGACAAGGACAACAGTGGTACAGTGACATTAGACGAGTTCCTGTCTGTCATGCAGCCAATCAAGAAAGAGAAAAAAAGGTACGAAAATTTGCAATTTCACGTCCTATCATCCTCGTGGGGCGGTGGGGTAGCCTAATGGTCAAAGTGTTCGCTCGTCACGTCAAAGGCCCAGGTTCGATTCCCAACATGGGTACAATGCGTGAAGTCCATTTCTGGTGTTCCCCGCCGTGATATTGCTGGAATTTTGCTAAAAGCGGCGTAAACCCCAACTCACTCACTCACTGTCATCCTCGTTTATCGGGTATATTGTATTTTCAATATGTTATGATATATATAACCTCGACAAATTAGACATAATAGCTTCGTTCGGAGGACGGTTGGAATGACAATACGCCACGAATAGCCGTCCAAATGTGACCCCGTGTTGGTTGGTTCCTTCATTATTCAAATCTATTTGAGTGAGTGAGTTTAGTTTTACGCCGCACTCATTGATGACCGTGTCTGTGAGCAGTTCGGGAGAGCGGTGTGGTAACCTAGAACCGGATACGATTCCCCAGATTGGGAAATATTGCTAAAAGCGACGTAAAACTCACTCACACACTTGTAAACTCTTTACAGATGTGCTACAATCAGGCGAATGTTTAAAAAGGCAGACATCAACAAAGATGGCTTCCTTACTGCAGACGAACTCCAGGTTGCTTTGTCGTCCGCTGCGGATGAGGGTGTGGAGCCACTTCCCATGAGCGAAGTGCAACGTCTCATCAGCTCCATCGACACCAACGGCGACGGTAAACTCAACTATGAAGAGTTTCTGCTGCTACTCAAGCCTGTTGCAACATCGTCATGACACAGACGTCAGCTCGGTGTTAAATCGCTACCTGTATTTAATATATAAACTGCTTGTTTTTTGTAAACTTTGTCATGTTGTATATTAATACCGGCGGTGTGGCAGCCCAGTAGCTAACACGTGGTCGCTCGTCACGCCGAAAAATCAGGTTCCTTTCGCCTCATTAATATAACATGTGAAGTCCATTTCTGGTGTTCCCCGCCGTGTTATTGCTGTAATTTTGCTAAAATGCGGCGAAAAACCATAGCTACTCATTAGTGAGTGAGTGAGTTTAGTTTTACGCCGCACTCAGCAATATTCCAGCTATATGGCAGCGGTCTGTAAATAATCGAGTCTGGACCAGACAATCCAGTGATCAACAGCATGAGCATCGATCTGCGCAGTTGGGAACCGATGACACGTGTCAATCAAGTCAGCGAGCCTGACCACCCGATCCCGTTAGTCGCCTCTTACGACAAGCGTGGGTTACTGAAGATCAATATTCTAACCCGGACCTTCACGGGTAAGCTACTAATTAACGGATATGTACCCCAAGGGAGTAATGCATCATGATGATAATAATATTGTACGAAATTGAAGATCAGAAGCTAACAAATTACCTGACATGGTTTGTTAGCTCTCTTTTTTTTTAACGCCTCACTGGGCAGTGAACCCGTGGAGATCCGGGCTAGAATTGGTCATCAGTACCCCATGCTTGTCATAAGAGGCGACTAACGGGATCCGATGGTCATGCTCGCTGAACTGGTTGACACATGTCATCGGTTCCCCATTGCGTAGAACGATGTTCATGATGTTGATCACTGGGTTACCTTGTCGATTATTTACAGACCACCGCCATGTAGCTGGAATATTGTTGAGTGCGACGTTCAATAACAATCAGTTAATCAGTCGACAGTGTAAAGAGTTATGTCAGCGGCCTCTAAGTGATCGTGTCTCGAGTCAGTCAATCCGGTGATTGATACTGTGAGTAACATTTTTTTGTGTGTATCACAAACGCACGGATTATGGGTATTATTGTTTGCGGTATTTTACATGAGCAGGATTGATACTCTGTTATGGATAAGAGCATGTGTGTGCTGACAAGGACATGCAACTAGGGGTTTCTTGCAACATTTATTGAAAGAATTACAAAAACACAGAACACTAAACGAAAGTACATCAAGTGACAAGTTGATGCCGAGGTAAGATGCGCTTCAACCGACACTGAAGAGTTGTGTCCCTTAGCACGAGTTGTCTCCCCTTAATTTTGCAAAATATAACAGTTATCGCAGTTTTCTCACCAAAGTACATTGTTGGCGTGACATGCTGGCTGTGTTGTGTAGAAACCGGTAGCTTTGTTTATCTAAATGACCCAAGTGATACAACTGCAGCTTAATGCGCGGCCATACACAAACTTCTCCATTACATTCGTACACAAATCGAAACAAGAACAACATGAAAAGTCGAATCGCAAAACTGACACGACTGGAATAAATAGCTGGAAAAGGTAAAGTTCCGTCGCTACAGTGTAAATAAGCGGTTGGTATTTTCACAATTGCTTGTACACCATTAGTAGCTTCAGTTATACCAGCAATAGACTTGAACCGTGAGGTATATCCCAATACAACCAATGTCTAACTCCATACAGCATCAGCTGGACGCCCGGTACCTCCTGGTTTAAGTGCATGACGGATCCTGCTTCTGGGGGAGGTCTTCCATGGCTGTACCTGGCTTGCTGGGATCTGTTGACAAGAGTGTGAGTTTAGTTTTACGCTGCTTTTAGCAATATTTCAGCAATATTAAGGCGAGGGACACCAGAAATGGGCTTCGCACATTGTACCCATATGGGGAATCGAATCCGGGTCTTCGGCGTGACGAGCGAACGCTTTAACCACTAGGTTACCCCACCGCCCTGTTGACAACAGTGTTCGTATAGGACTTTTTTGTAGATGATAAATGGCGACTACCTGATATTTTTGTGGGGTTTTTTGTGTTTGTTTTAAATGTTGTACAAACACAGTATCTGAAAGTAGAAGTAGAACTCTAATGGGGAATAATTAGAAGTATTTACCCTGAAGTTATCAGGAATAATGGAGTCATTGGACATGTTTTGTTGGATATTTTGTGTTTTAATAATATTTGGAAAATGATTTGAAAGCATTAACATGTTCATGAGTAGAATGTGTCATCAGTTCCCAATTGCGCAGATCGATGCTCATGCTGTTGATCACTGGATTGTCTGGTCCAGACTCGATTATTTACAGACCGCCGCCATATAGCTGGAATATTGCTGAGTGCAGCGTAAAACTAAACTCATTCACTCACTCACTGTAAGGCATCACTTAACCATCTGGTTGATAATGTATACAGTTTTTAATGAAGCATAGTGAACGGATTTTGAGTCCAGTTCCGAAAACGAACCGAACATAAGGATTAGTGCTTACATAATACACCATGTATTTTGGCCCCGTGTTCATGTATCAAATGTTCTGGGGTATGGTCTTTTTTGTCTCATGATGACGGGCAGGTTAAGAGTATCCTCATAACATACTTTACAGAGAGACCAAAGTGAACCCCACTACATGCCTACTATAAAACTGACTGATGGATTTTTCTGATATCACGGGTTTTTTAATGTTTATAACTCCACGTCTCATATTATCATCACCAAAGTAGAAAGTCCCAGTTTGTTACTTGCATATGTTACCCGTGAAGATCCGGGTTAGAATATTGATCTTCAGTAACCCATGCTTGTCGTAAGAGGCGAATAACGGGATCCGGTGATCAGGCTCGCTGACTTGGTTGACACATGTCATCGGTTCGAATTCCCAATTGCGCAGATCGATGTTCATGCTGTTGATCACTGGATTGTCTGGTCCAGATTCGATTATTTACAGACCGCTGCCATATAGCTGGAATATTGCTGAGTGCGGCGTAAAATTAAACTCACTCACTCACTCACTTGTATATGTTCCTACAGATGCAAATTACATTATTTATTTGTTTGTTTGTTGCTTAGCGACGCACTCAATAATATTCCAGCTATATGGTGGCGACAATCCAGTGATCCACAGCATGAGCATCGATCTACGCAAGCATGGGTTACCACCATGAATTGAGCATGACTAAATTAATCATTCTCAACTGACCGTCAGGAATGGCCAAGGAACTCAGATTTTGATTATAAGGAAGGTTCGGCGATACCTGAGTCATCTTTCCTCCTCTTCCTTGAGAAGAGAATGAGGTCAGCAACCTCGATGAAGGTGAGGATACTTCCGCCCAGACACAACCCGATACTTCCGCCAATGTCACCTGGAATTACACAGAGCGTACCTCTTCACTACACAAGGTTTAGCATCGGATGACAGCTGGTAGGAAGATTGTTCATAATTAATTCATTCAGGACCGAATAACTCCAAACTATAAGTGCTGTCATTTGACTTAGTGAGAATGTGAGATACAAAGAGACAAAATCATTAATTTAAATGACTGTTACTCAAGTGTGGTGTCTTTTAGATCCACGATGGCACACTGGTGGCCAAGGTAAGCAAGCTGATAAAAGTGCAGCTCATTTGGGTTGATGGTGGCATATCGCTGGCGACAGTCTAGCACTGTTTAATCTGGTCGTAGGGTCAACTGGTTGTTTCCGCAATAAATCTGTGATATTTCGCTGAATGTATGGTCAGTCTTTTTTAATTGTTCTTCTCTCTCGCTGTTGAATGCTTTTAAATATTAGACATATTCAGACATATTCTAATTCAACTACGTGACAACTGCCTGTGAGTATTCGAGACTGAACCAGGCAAACCATGATCACTTTTATGAACACGCCATCGGGTATGATTACACACAATCAACTAACGGGTGTTGTCATATTATATTAATCTACTCGAACCCGGCATTCTCACAGGATCATGAATAAAACTGAATAACATGTCTTCACCTAAAGGACAATACTTACATACGAGTCCTTCCACAGAGTAGGCTTCGGACTTGACTCTTTCCTCAACGCTCAGGTCCTCGAAGTAGATATTCACGTTCAGCACGTTGTCCCTGAATAATAATTGAACGACACTTGTAATGATTCCAATGACCTTTGGAAGATTGTAGGATCATTAATTAGTTTTTGTTGTGTCTCGGAGCGAATCATAACGACTCGTGGACAAATGAGTATTGCTTTATTTCGGGTCTGTTTACTGCTTCCATTCATTTTCACATATAGAAGTCATATATTTTTGGACATCACTCCAAGAGCTGTAGGTGTCATTAACACAGGATCTCGTTCCATGAATTTAGCTAATTGGCTCGCAAACCAACGCAGCCTTTGTTTGTTTTGGGAAGTCAAAGTACGACTGGTAGGTTCGACTGACGCGACCTAGGGTGGTTTCAATGAAATCGATATTGGTTATCCTCTGGTTTTGACCATTATGTTTAAAAGCCATTGAATATGAAACCAAGAAATAAGAACGGAGCATAAACTCATTCAAAAACTCACTGATAAAAGGAAGGCTGAAGAAAAGTGTATAGCGGCTGTTTGAGCTTGATCAGGTGGGAGACCGACGGCATGTTCTGGAACTGCACCACGTACGTCAGCAACATCTGTATCAGGCGTTCAATCCTCCTGATGTCGTCTACAGCATTGTTGTAGTGCAGCTGGGACAGGCTCCCAGCCTTGAGATGATTGGTCGGTGAGCCGTCACGTGATCGCTTGTTGATAGTCTGGATCCAGAAGTATACCTTGTCAAGGTCCCTTCGGATGGTTTCAAAATGAATTTGAAGAGAGCCCTTCATTAATCTTATTCGGTAAAACTCATTTTTAGGTTGCACGGCATCATTCGCAAGCGTTGTTTCCAAACCCCACTTTAGTGAGTTTGTGGACCAGAACGTCGCGTTGTCGAATCTTTGACGTAGGGATCCGCTGACATCTTTCAGATAATTAACCAACAAATCTGCATACTCTGCTCGAGTACGGTTTCCTTCAGAGTCGTTTACAACTGCTTCTAAACTGACGTTATTGAACAATGTTGCAGCATCTTCTGAAAATGATACCAGTGAACGCTTCAGGTCTGCTAGACAGTGGAGCTGCTGACGTACATTATCAGCCATGATGGCCAGAAGATCAGTATAGGCAGGGTCAAGGTCGTTCAGCAAGCCCCAGAACTGGACTTTAAGAGCCTCATTAACATCTGTCAGAGATGGTCGGTCATGGGAGCTCTGTTTTGACGCTTGGGTTGATTTGTCTGCTAGAGATAGCCTGCTCGCATATTGGCGAGAAATAGCAGTTTGAGACAGAGTCTGGGAGAAGTGTTCTGAGCGGCAGAGGAAACGGACAGTCGCAGTGCTTGGTCATCCCGCTGCTGTAGAATAGCCCTGTCAAAGACACATGTTATCCTGTATTGTTTCTAGGCAACAGAGACTGTTGATTGCCAGTGATTAGGGACCAAACCTCAATATTAGGTTACTGTATAAAGTTAATCATTTTGGGGGTCTTTTGTTTGAAAGAAAGACACGAACAATCGCCACCCCATACATCTCCTCCGTGTCACTACCCTACACTTTGTCCACGTATCTGCCCCTTCAGACACACATATCCACCATGCATTGCCTTGCGCACCACCACCGCATCTCCATTTCTTCTTCCACATCAGTGCGGTGGGTAGCCTAGTGGTTGAAGTGTTCGTTCATCACGCCGAAGACCCGGGTTCGATTCCCTTCATGCGTACAATGTATGAAGCCCATTTCTGATATCCCCCGCCGTGATTTTGCTGGAATGTTGTTAAAACGGCGCAAAACTAAGCTCACTCACTCTTCCATATAACTACCCAACACTTCGTCGATGTTCGCTTCAACATGCCCACCAATCATCTCCTAGATGTTCTTTTCAACATCACTACCCAACATCTCCTAGATGTTCTTTTCAACATCACTACCCACCTTCTCCTAGATGTACTCTTCAACATCATTACCCATCTTCTCCTAGATGTCCTCTTCAACATCACTACCCAACATCTCCTAGATGTTCTCTTCAACATCACTACCCATCTTCTCCTAGATGTTCTTTTCAACATCAATACCCAACATCTCCTCAATGTTCTTTTCAACATCACTACCCAACATCTCCTCAATGTTCTCTTCAACATCACTACCCAAACATCTCCTCGATGTTTCTTCAATATCACTACCAAACATCTCCTCAATGTTCTCTTCAACATCAATACCCAACATCTCCTAGATGTTCTTTTCAACATCAATACCCAACATCTCCTCGATGTTCTCTTCAACATCAATACCCAACATCTCCTCAATGTTCTCTTCAACATCACTACCCAACATCTCCTCAATGTTCTTTTCAACATCACTACCAAACATCTCCTCGATGTTCTCTTCAACATCAGTACCCAACATCTTCTAGATGTTCTTTTCAACATCACAACCCATCTTCTACTAGATGTTCTCTTCAACATCACTACCCATCTTCTCCTAGATGTTCTCTTCAATATCACTACCCAACATCTCCTCAATGTTCTCTTCAACATCAATACCAAACATCTCCTAGATGTTCTCTTCAACATCACTACCCATCATCTCCTAGATGTTCTTTTCAACATCAATACCCAACATCTCCTCGATGTTTCTTCAATATCACTACCCAACATCTCCTCAATGTTCTCTTCAACATCAATACCCATCATCTCCTAGATGTACTCTTCAACATCACTACCCATCATCTCCTAGATGTTCTTTTCAACATCACTACCCATCTTCTCCTAGATGTTCTCTTTAACATCACTACCCATCTTCTCCTAGATGTTCTCTTCAACATCACTACCCATCATCTCCTAGATGTTCTCTTCAACATCACTACCCATCATCTCCTAGATGTTCTCTTCAACATCACTACCCATCATCTCCTAGATGTACTCTTCAACATCACTACCCAACATCTCCTAGATGTTTCTTCAATATCACTACACATCAACTCCTAGATGTTCTTTTCAAACTCACTAACCATCATCTCCTAGCTGTTCTTTTCAACATCAATACCCAACATCTCCTCAATGTTCTCTTCAACATCAATACCCAACATCTCCTCAATGTTCTCTTCAACATCACTACCCAAACATCTCCTCGATGTTTCTTCAATATCACTACCAAACATCTCCTCAATGTTTTCTTCAACATCAATACCCAACATCTCCTCAATGTTCTTTTCAACATCAATACCCAACATCTCCTCGGTGTTCTCTTCAACATCAATACCCAACATCTCCTCAATGTTCTTTTCAACATCACTACCAAACATCTCCTTGATGACCTCTTCAACATCACTACCCAACATTTCCTAGATGTTCTTTTCAACATCACTACCCAACATCTCCTCAATGTTTTCTTCAACATCAATACCCAACATCTCCTAGATGTTCTCTTCAACATCACTACCCATCATCTCCTAGATGTTCTCTTCAACATCACTACCCATCTTCTCCTAGATGTTCTTTTCAACATCAATACCCAACATCTCCTCAATGTTCTTTTCAACATCACTACCCAACATCTCCTCAATGTTCTCTTCAACATCACTACCCAAACATCTCCTCGATGTTTCTTCAATATCACTACCAAACATCTCCTCAATGTTCTCTTCAACATCAATACCCAACATCTCCTCAATGTTCTTTTCAACATCAATACCCATCATCTCCTCGATGTTCTCTTCAACATCAATACCCAACATCTCCTCAATGTTCTCTTCAACATCACTACCCAACATCTCCTCAATGTTCTTTTCAACATCACTACCAAACATCTCCTCGATGTTCTCTTCAACATCACTACCAAACATCTCCTCGATGTTCTCTTCAACATCAGTACCCAACATCTTCTAGATGTTCTTTTCAACATCACAACCCATCTTCTACTAGATGTTCTCTTCAACATCACTACCCATCTTCTCCTAGATGTTCTCTTCAATATCACTACCCAACATCTCCTCAATGTTCTCTTCAACATCAATACCAAACATCTCCTAGATGTTCTCTTCAACATCACTACCCATCATCTCCTAGATGTTCTTTTCAACATCACTACCCAACATCTCCTCGATGTTTCTTCAATATCACTACCCAACATCTCCTCAATGTTCTCTTCAACATCAATACCCAACATCTCCTAGATGTACTCTTCAACATCACTACCCATCATCTCCTAGATGTTCTTTTCAACATCACTTCCCATCTTCTCCTAGATGTTCTCTTTAACATCACTACCCATCTTCATCTACCCCTAGATGTTCTCTTCAACATCACTACCCATCATCTCCTAGATGTTCTCTTCAACATCACTACCCATCATCTCCTAGATGTTCTCTTCAACATCACTACCATCAAACATCTCCTCAATGCATCTCCTAGATGTTTCTTCAATATCACTACACATCAACCCTAGATGTTCTTTTCAAACTCACTAACCTCATCTCCTAGCTGTTCTTTTCAACATCATTACCCAACATCATCAATGTTCTCTTCAACATCACTACCCAACATCTCCTCAATGTTCTCTTCAACATCACTACACCCAAACATCTCCTCAATGTTTCTTCAATATCACTACCAAACATCTCCTCAATGTTCTCTTCAACATCAATACCCAACATCTCCTCAATGTTCTTTTCAACATCAATACCCAACATCTCCTCGATGTTCTCTTCAACATCAATACCCAACATCTCCTCAATGTTCTTTTCAACATCACTACCAAACATCTCCTTGATGACCTCTTCAACATCACTACCCAACATTTCCTAGATGTTCTTTTCAACATCACTACCCAACATCTCCTCAATGTTCTCTTCAACATCACTACCCAACATCTCCTCAATGTTCTTTTCAACATCACTACCCAACATCTCCTCGATGTTCTCTTCAACATCAGTACCCAACATCTCCTAGATGTTCTCTGCAACATCACTACCCATCTTCTCCTAGATGTTCTCTTCAACATCACTACCCAACATCTCCTCGATGACCACTTCAACATCAGTACCCAACATCTCCTCGATGTTTCTTCAACATCATTACCCAACGTCTCCTCGTTGTTTCTTCAACATCACTACCCAACATCTCCTCAATGTTTCTTCAACATCAATACCCAACATCTCCTCGATGTTTCTTCAACATCAATACCCAACATCTCCTCAATGTTCTCTTCAACATCACTACCAAACATCTCTTCGACGTTCTGTTAAACATCACTACCCAACATCTCCTCAATGTTCTTTTCAACATCACTACCCAACATCTCCTCGATGACCTCTTCAACATCACTACCCAACATCTCATCGATGTTTCTTCAACATCACTACCCAACATCTCCTCAATGTTCTCTTCAACATCAATACCCAACATCTCCTCAGTGTTCTTTTCAACATCACTACCCAACATCTCCTCGATGTTTCTTCAACATCAATACCCAACATCTCCTCGATGTTTCTTCAACATCAATACCCAACATCTCCTCGATGTTTCTTCAACATCACTACCCAACATCTCCTCGATGTTTCTTCAACATCACTACCCAACATCTCATCGATGTTTCTTCAACATCACTACCCAACATCTCATCGATGTTTCTTCAACATCACTTCCCAACAGCTCATCGATGTTTCTTCAACATCACTATCCATCATCTCCTCGATGTTTCTTCAACATCACTACCCACTTCCTTCATTGCATCTAAATCCCCATCTCTTGCCTCAACCCTTTACGCCATTCAGGCTGTAGTAAACCCTCCACTTACTCATGGTCCTGTCTACACACTGTAGCTGTTCCAGAAGACTGCAGTAGGGCCTGCCATGCCTGTCTGGAACACAATCAGTTCTGAATAATACCACGTGCAAACTCGACATTAGACAAATTACGCGCACTCATTGACTTTCATTTGACAATTTTTGTGAGGCAACGTTTTGCAGTGTTACAGCTTTTGCGACTTTAAATGTTTTATTTATTTCATTTACTGTATGTTTATGACAAAGAATGTCTCACTTGGCATGTACAGTTGCACACAACCACACTTTTTCCTGACGTGAGATGTCAGACAATTTAGCCGACATCTCAGGGGAGAGTACTCTGTGTCGTCAGGAAACTCATGCAGAGTTGTCTTCCCGCATGACCCATAAGGCGCCTGCTTGTCCAGCATCTGAAATCACAACCTCACTACCTGCATATCTTGGTGTCAGAAAACACATTGATTACTTGAATTCGTCTATAGTTTTATACACATGGATCAAAAGTACCGTCAACACCCCGTATTTTGCATGGTATCGATATGTTACCATTAATCTTTGGAACTTATCTAACCCTCAAGTTTACATAATGTCGTGTAACACTGAATCGCGAAAAGAACGAAAAAATGTATTTAGATAAACAAAAACATGTAAAGAGTTGACCCATTACGTAGTGGTGATAACTACGGTTGTATGGCGTTAACAAGTGCGTCATTTCTAAGATTCTTGCACAATCCTCAAGGAGTTACATAAGTATCAAACCCGTTAAGATCCGCATCAGAACTGGTCTTCTGTAGCCCATGCTTGTCGTCAGAGGTGACTAACAGCGATGTCCATCCGGACTGTCGAAAATTGTTTCGGGTATTACGTAAGAAGGTAGTTAGGCGTTAACACTATGGCGTTCGACGCTCCGGGCATTAAGGAAAACCAAATACGTTATACAGTACATTCTTTATTATGGCCACTTTGTTATACGCCGGTTTAATCAATTTGGGGTTTGTTAGAAAGCTTGGAATTGGTGTATGTGCCATATGTTGAAATATTTCGCAGCCATAGAGTAATTTAGATTTGATGAGTGATTTATATAGTAGTAGTAATGTTTGTTTGTGCTACCCCATTTACTATGTGATAGGTATTTAATAATGTTGAGATCTGACTTGCATTTGTCTTGTATGAATTGAGAGTGTTTGTTCCACGTTTTCATTAACCCATATTGCTCCATCAACGGCAAACTTGGATTTGTTTATGTTTTTACTGAGGTTGTTGAATATATCATCAGATTTGATGGACTATGGAGACCTTAAAGTCTCTGTCTGTTAGAAAGGCTGATGCAAAATTTAGAAGTGCCTCTTTTAAACTTTTTTTTTGCGAAAGCCTGATTGAGTTGTATTATATACATTTTGTGTTTAAAGATATTGTGTGAGGCGCTTGTTAACCATACCCTCCATGGTATTGCATATATTAGATGTTAGAGATATTGGCCGATATGATTCGGCTTTGTTTACGTCTTGGCCTTGCTTGTGTATGGGTATGATAAGGGAATGTTTCCAGGCTTTTTGGTATATGACCGTTTATCAAAGCTGTATTGTAAAGGTTTAGTAGTTGGTTTATTAATGGTTTGGGGCGTTTTTTAACATGATATAGCTGATATAGACATCGTTTATGTTACTTACCTATCTTATATAGTTACATATGTATCCGTGAGAAGAAATGTGACAAATCTGATTCAAATCTAGTTAGCTTTTCTCATTTCAACAACAACAAAATACAAATCTAGTTAACTTTTCTCATGTCAACAACAGTGGTGTACTTCCGCCTGTATCTGTATCATTGAGAAGGAAGTGTGACAAATCTAGTTAACCCAAACTCTTTCCTCATTTCAACAACAATAGTATTCATGTCTTCCCCCCTCGTTAATTAGAGTAGAGCGGATTAGCACAGTTTTTCTGCTATTCGCTGGTTCATGTTCTCCAATAGTCTCTCGTACAGACCCTGAAGCAAATATATCCAAGAAAGCCCACACAAGTCTAGAAAATGTGGCAAGTCTAGATTTCCTCAGCTTCAGGGCTCCTTTTCATTATATATATATATTTTTTTTACTATGATTTTTTTTCTGTAAAATATGTTCATTTCAGAGACTAGTTGTTAGTCTAGTTCTCCAAGGCAGTCCACACTCCGGCTGTTATTGGAGCAGTGTTGAGCATTGCCACACTCCACTGCTTTTCGACAGTCCGGGTGTGTATTCGATAAAACATTCGACAGTCCGGGTGTGAGTACACGTGATTGAAAGTACGATGACAATTGTTCTTATTGTATAGATACAGGGAAGAACCTACCCTGGTTTTCTTCAGGGCTATACCTGTACTGAACCCAACTGTCACACCCAAACCGGTCGAATCAGCAAAAGCCGCGGTATCGTTAGGAGCGGAAATGACGACAACGGCTCCCGCGGAGTCACGTGATCCACCCATGTAGTCGAACTGTTCAACCATAAGGGAGAGGCTAAGGCCGCTCTGGTGACCTGGAAAGATCGAACTTGAAACATCAGTAATGTGTGAAAGACTGAGTATGGTTTTACGCCGCTTTTAGCAATATCAGAAGTATCAAGGGATCACACCAGAAAAGCGGGAACTAAACAGAGCTATGTCAAACAACTGGATAAAAGAATGTATAGACGTGGAAATTTGATTTGTGGAAATTACAAACTCATATTGAACGTTACTCAAAACAGTCACCGACAAACTGTAAAGGTCTTAAACACATGTCTCGTTTGTTTCATCATGAAACATGGAAGTTTACTTTCCTGTGCCCCATCAGTTTACAGTGGTAACATAATAATGCGGACAATCCGGATTGTACCGATAGAATGTGTTTGTCTGTAAATAACAACCCAGAATCGTATATCTTAAATTTTCATGATAAATCTTTGATAAGAGCTTTATGTAAATTAAGAATTGGTTTTCATGATTTCTGTGTAAATAGGGCACGTAAACATGGTATTTCTTCAGAATGTAAAAATGATTTGATCTGTTCTAATTGTACTACAGGCTCTATAGAGGATGAGTTCCATGTCATGTTTGTATGCACCAAGTATCTAAGTTTGCGAAAAAAGTATATACCATTTCTTTCAAACGCTGTATTAGACAAACATTCACTGTCAAATTTGTTAAATTCTAAGAATATTATGATTGTTAAGTCTGTAGCAATATATCTCAAACATGTTTTCACTGTGCGTAGCCATAAATGTAACCATGAATGTAACCATAAGTTCACGTGACTTGTATAGCATTTTGTAACATCAACAATTGTAATGTAGGCCTTAAGGCCAGAATTACCGAATGAACTGAATCTGAATCTGAAACCCAGTGATAAACAGCATGAGCATCGATCTACAAAACTGGGATACGATGACAGGTATCAACCAAGTCGGCGAGCCTGACCACCCGATCCCGTTAGTCGCCTGTTACGACAGACACAGGTTGCTGAAGACCCGGATCTTCCCGGGTGTGTACCTATATTACCGTCACTTACCACTCGTGTCTACTGTTAGTGGCGTCTCCTTGTTATAGGCTTCAAACTGATAACATACACCAAGGTCAGTCATCACTGTGGAGAAGTTTGCTGGGCCACAAGGTAGGCCCTTCCATGTGCACCTGCAATATAAACATGTTCCCATTACAACAGTCAAGGCCTAACGGGTATTGATGGTCATATACCTGCCATATGTCATAATATATCACTGGATTGTCTGGTCCAGATTCGATAGTTTACAGACCGCCGCCATAGAGTTGAAATACTGCTGAGTGCGACGTTAAACAACAAACCAACCAATCAACTAAAAATGTATATGTGATAACACCCGATGGCAACGGATAATACAGCGTTAACTGCTCGTTGTTTAATGCCGCACTCAGAACTTAGCCACCAAAAGAACGGCGGTCTGTAAATAATTGAGTCTGATAATCCAGTGATTGACATCATAAGCATCGATCTACGCAATTGGGATACGATGACGTGCATCGACCGTCAGCGAGCCTGACCACCTGATCGTCTCTTACGAAGTAAGACCAGTTCTAACCCTTATCTTCGAATTCACGGATACTTAAGTACCTAGGCTGGGTCAACGCCAAATTAACTGGATTCGGGTTTCAAATTTATTTTCCACACACCATTATACCGGTCTACTAGCTATAGGTTTCAAACAGTCAATGACTGCTCCAATTTCATGATGATATGTTCTAAGCATAAAACGTCTAGACATTTACTGAAAATCGGGAACGAAAGGCAACCAAGTTTGCTATTAAGGAACGCTAAATGGTAATTTGGTCAATAGTTGCTCATGAACAAATTCCCATCAAGAGTGTCGGATGTAATTTTCATCGTGACGAGACGAGTGTAAGCTGGGCCCAGTCTCGCATATCACGCGCAAAGGGAGCCGGGAACCAGCTTAAGACGAGTGAGGACAGATCCAGTAAATGTAGCGCACACGCTTACCCTTTTAATAGTGCTTCCTTCCTGTGCGCCATTTTCTTGAAGAATTCCCAGCTTCCGGCGGAGGAAAGCAGGTCGGTGTACTTGTCCTCCAGTTGGTTCAGATGTCCTCGTCTCACTCGATGGTACTGATTTAGTGCTTCATATAGGGTCGGTGATGTCCTGGGCCCATCCGTCTCATTTAACACCTGGCTGGACCTATCAACATTACAAAGCCAGGGATAGAAATACTTTTTTTTCTAAGTGTGCCTTAGGGCACCAGACAAATATTTTAGGTGTGCCTTTCAGAAATCAAGTATGCCCACATGTTTTTAGAATAAATGACAATGATGATGATCATTTGAAATGTATTGTTAAATAAAGAAATGGGTTTATGAGCATTCAAATATGTATGGTATTATTCAATTTGGAAAAAAATAATTGTTTTGGGGATTAAATGACTAAATGTGAGTTATGTCTCAGGCGTGTCAAAAGGGCACCGAGAACATTTTTTAGCCGTGCCATGTCAATAATTACCGTGCCATGGCACTCTAATATATGGGGTATTGCGAACCCTGAAAGCGTAGGGTATATACACTGCTTGCGAAAACACATCCACAAAATGTAAATCCTAATGTATTTTGTGTTATATATCTTAATGTTTCAGAGGAATATCATATGTTTTGAAGAAGTAAGCGATACCCTGTCCATAATAATTCCCACCCCGCCCTCAACTGTAAATGTCCTTATGATAATGAGATCATAAATCTTTCATGTAGCTATATTAAGATGGACCTTCCACGCGTTGCACATGATTCATAGTTTAAAATCTCATATTGCTCATGAGGGTATAAGTATGGAGTTTATACCCTGGTATAAACACATTATTATTTATACCAGGGTATATTATGTTAACACATTATTACAAAACATTATCTTTGCCGCTGAGACACAATTTCCAGGTGAAATGATGGCGAGATAACAATGTTACCTTGCTGACAAACCATTGGTTTGGGTTTGGTTTGGTTGTTGTTTAACGCCGCACTCAACCATATTCCAGCTATATGGTGGCGGTCTGTAAATGACCGAGTCTGGACCAGACAAACCAGTGATCAACATCATGAACATCGATCTACGCAGTTCGGTTACAATAACATGTGTCATACAAGTCAGCGAGCCTGACCATTTGATCCCGTTAGTCGCCTCTTACGACAAGCAGTTGGCAGACCATGGTTGTGGCTACCGTTATGACAAGAGTGTCCAGTCTAAGTAAACTTAGGCTCAGTATTATTCGTTACACTGCTATACTGAGTCTAACAAAACCTAGTCGAAGGTCGCGTCAGCTAACCTTTGAGCGACCTATGACCGTCCAATCATACGCGAGACGGCCGAACTGATTTAACCAATCAGGCAACAGCTACTTGTTTGGGTTCGGCGGGACTTACAAAACGGTTTTTGAATTTTCTCTTCCCTGGTCGCTGACACTGATCTATCAACAAACGAAAATTCGCATAAAACACAGATATTTGACCTGCAGTATATACGCTTATGGGTCTCTAATGACATGGTTACTATTTGCTTATATTTTCACAAGATGTCATCCTTGAATACTGACAAAAACGCTATTTTCAGCGACTGTTTACCCATTGCGTGTATCACTCGGAAGCGATCGTGCGGAAAACAGCATTCGGAATCGTTCGATTTTTTTAGGTAAAGGTTCAAACGGTATGTGCGAATGTTAACTTTCGCCATTTGGTAAGCTGTGTTATGATTGGTCAGTCCAAAATGTTAGCTGACGCGACCTTCTACAAGGTTTTGTTAGACTCAGTTTAGCAGTGTAACGAATTATACTGAGCCTAAGTTTACTTAGACTGCAAGAGTGTCCAACCTGAAGGTGTTCTGGTTGCAGATTGTGATCTTGGGGAACTCCACCGCATCCTGGTAGTGGATCTGAGTGTCAAGAGAAGTGGGGTAGGCGAGGAAGTAGACGAGGCGGCCATGGATGTTCCACACCATCCAACACACGGCGGCAAGGATCACAAACAACCATGTAAATCTGCAAATCAACATCTGTAGACTTACGTTTCTCTAAGAAGCGGGGTTCGGGGCAAGGGGAAGAAATAGTATGTCCGGGTCGTTCAGATATCTATACTCGCTTCTCTAGTAATGCCCCTGAGAGGTGCGTAAGACCATGTCATTCAAAGAAATGTATTTTTAATCTTCCCGGGTCTTTTTATCGCAATATGTGTTGTTTTCATTCATGATAACCACATGGGTACAATGTGTGAAGCCCATTTCTGGTGTCCCCCATCGTGATTTTGCTGGAATATTGCTAAAAGTGGCGTAAATCCAACTCAATCACTCACTCATTCATGATAAATTTTCCAAAGGCATTCGTCTTATAGGAGGAACAGTGCAGCGTTATACAACAAGCAGTCAATGCTGCATGTTCCGTTGCCATCGAGTGTTATGACATATGGCAGAGATATGACCATCAATACCCTTTAGGCCTTGACGGCTGTAATGGGAACATGTTCATATTGCAGCAGGTGAAAAAGAAGGTGTAAATACAGCTACGGTTCATGCAGGTAGCAAAGGTATGGTACGTCCCTCTGTCACAAGTATGGCTTTTACAATGTTTCATGTTTCATTTACTGGTGATGCCTAGTCAAAACTATGATTTACCGTTTTATTTGTACTTTCTCTCTTTCTGTTCTGCTATGCATAATTTTATATGCAAATATAAGGATTACTCTGTGTGTGTTCACGTAAACTTGTAATCAGCATAAATCTACCTATGATTGAGTAAAACAAAAAAACTTTAAAGAATTTTGGTGCAGTGTTCGAATTAAAAAGGTTGTTTATCAGACATTATATATAACCAAAATCCAGTTACCATTTACGCCTCACAAGTTCCTGTTCGAGCAAATGAATGAAAACTAAAGGCAAATATCGTTATTACAACCCAAAACGTTGTAAGTATAATATCAGGCTTTTAATTTGTTTGAGGAATATCTCCATCAATATCCACACACAGGAACAATATCCCATACATCTATTGCAGTGAAAAGAGACTTATTCAATGTCACGTATCTTCGTAACAATAGGATTTTTTAAAATGATCTAATCGGGGGAAATTATTTCCCGTCACTCAACTGATCACGTGGGTTTGTTTCAGCTGTTTCACATCGGTTTTCACAACTCACAAGTATGGTGGCTGATTAGGGCCATCGCTTTCTCACCTTAAAATTCGGAGGTGAGAAAGCGAGAAAGCGATATCACGAGACGAGAAAGCGATATCACGAGACGAGAAAGCGATAACACGAGACGAGAAAGCGATAGCACGAGACGAGAAAGCGATAACGCGAGACGAGAAAGCGATAACGCCCTAATCAGCCACCAACCGCCCCTCATTTTACAACGGTGCGTGATGCCATTGTACGCTGTACACCATATCAAGAGCATGCGTTTGAATCCACATTAAAATGATGACACAAACACACGCAAACCGAGTCAATTATCCATCTGAAAAGGGCAACAAGGAAACATAGTTTATAATACGAGTCACAACAAAATTGCTCCGGACTGCATGATCCGCCACACGTCTTTGACATGATTCTCGTTGAGCGCAAAGGGCATGCCAATATCATTTACGTAAAGCAAGTACGAAAGCGAAATGCTACTTTTGAGAGCGTACATTATTTTTCACTTGAATATTTCATTTCTCGTAGCTTCGATTGATTGTCGTTATTTCAAACAAAATTAAAACACCATGACATTTCAAAACAGTTTTTCGTTGCTGCAATAATATTCTAGTGTGCTTTTACTTGTTTTGTCTTTTTCTCGTTTCGAGTATTTTAAGTAGCTTCGATTATTTTCTGGATGCTTTGACTATTCTGTCGTTATTTCAAATATCATTTCGACATTTTTTCGCAAATATATTATATATTTCTTGTCACTTCAAGTTTCTTTCAGACCCGTGAAGGTCCGGGTAAGAGTGTGCCTTCAGTAACCCATGCTTGTCGTAGGAGGCGACTAACGGGATCAGGTAGTCAGGCTCGCTTATTTATAGACCGCCGCCATATACCTGGAATATTGCTGAGTGCGTCGTAAAACTAAACTCACTCACTCAAGTTTCTTTCAAGAACCTACAGTTCTAAAGGCACCAACAGGGTATTCATCTGTGTTTTAAACGAACAGTTCGTCACAAGTAGGGTTTTATTTTCGCCCACAAATTGAGAATTGAAACAACTCAAAGTTTAGATAGTCAGCGCTTGATTTTCCAGCAATATCACGGCGGGGGACACCAGAAATTGGCTTCACACACTGTGCCTATGACGAGCGAACGCTTTAACCACTAGGCTACCTCACCTCCCCATAAAGCAAAGTGACATCAACTTAACCGATCAGGGCACTTATTCTCAAAACTTTCGAAGTCCTAAGAATTCTTAACTTGATCGTAGCCAGTGTGTTAAGAAGTTCGTAGGGCTTAAGAAGTTTCGAGCATAGCTAGCCAGGTTTGTACTGATGATCTTGGAAGATAAAACGATATGTACAATTTGAATTACGTCAGCTGTGTACAAGTGCAGAGATTCTGCTACTTCTAAGTAAAGAAAAACGTTAAGACATATAGTCCGGAGCAGTTTTTGTTGTGAGTGAGTGAGTTTAGTTTTACGCCGCACTCAGCAATATTCCAGTAACATGGCGGCGGTAGGTAAATAATCGAGTCTGGACCAGACAATCCAGTGATCAACAGCATGACCATCAATGTACGCAATTCGGATACAATGACATGTGTCAACCAAGTCAGTGAGTCTGACCACCCGATCCTGTTTGTCCTTACGACAAGCCGGGGTTAATACTGTGGTGCTACTTCTACGTTAAAAAAACGTTCTTATGCAGTTTTTATGTGTCGATCCAAACATTCCTTTGTTGTTAACTCATAATAATTAATAAATGCTTCTGTGCTTAATACTGCTTATTATGAAACTCGGAGACTTCAGATGCTATTGGTTCTTCGCCCAATACATATCACATTTTATCATCGCGTTGACGGTTCATATTCCTACTGTATCAACATATTTCAACTGGGTTCGTGTCAATAATAGAATGCTCACAAGTTTGAAAACCACACACGCCTGTGTATATGCAACGTTGCTTATCTCTTCAATCTAGACTCCTTCATCCTGAGGATTACAAATTTTAGAATACATCAGCTATCCTTCCATGTGATGCTACGCGTCGATGTGTTCAGTGTTTGTCCATATCTATGAATGACTAAAGTATTGCAATAACGTATTGTCACGGTATTGATTGCCGTTTATCACGTGTATGTTTTAAATCAAAGCACTGAATGTAAATGCAGTAGAACGGCTTTAGTTGGTATATACCAGTCACACATCTGAACGTATTATGCACAATCAGACTAATAGCACGTATCTCGCTTAACACCGGGGTGTTTGAACATAGTCGTGTGGGGTCAATGGGTATTTATCTCTGAGTCTACAGTTACATTATACTTGTGACGGAACGATGTACCAGTTGGCGGGATTAATGACCTGTTTAATGATTCTCGAATGTTATCGTTTGCGAGATAATTAAGCTAACGCTGTTTTTACACTGAACTGTAAAGTATCTTAAATAGGGTGAATATGGTCATTCCAAAACGAGTGAAATAGGAAAAGGTCCAGAAAACAAACGATAAAAAAGGTTATGTGCATTACGAAGGTCGTTAATTGTTCACACCACTGTCAAAGGCCTGTATAGGAGAGGGATTAAGTGGTTGAGCTCAGTGCTGTGGAATGTGTTTGAATAAAACACATTGGTTTTGCAACCCACACTGTTTTGTTCACATCGCATGCTGGATGTCTTGAAATAAACTGTCGGACAAAAGAAAGTTTTCACTTTTAAAGTAATTATATAAAATAACAAGAACGATGTTCAGGTTTGAACCCAAGCGGAATAAAATCACTAAAACGCAACAGGGCCCCGATAACGACGCAGCTGTCAGGAAAGTTCGTACGAAACGTGCATTTTCAAAACCTGTAAACGGGACATTGGTTCAAATGCACGTGCATGACTGTGACATCAATACCGATGTTGGGCAGAGCAAGCATGCAATAACCAAAAAGACCACCACGAATATACCAAGACTTACGAAGGCGCAACGAGACAGGGCAATCGGTATGGCCTCTATGGGGGCTTCACAACGTCAGCTGGCAAGAACCTTCAACTGCAGACAGACCACAATCAGCAAATCGATAAACCGCTACCAGAAAACAGGCCAGACCAAGATCACGACACCGGCCGAAGACCGCTACATCCTGCAGATGTATCACCAGAAACGATGGCTGAGTTCGAATTTTCCGACGAACTGTGGTTAAGAAGTTCATCCGTTCGATGGAGAAGGCGTCATGGTATGGGACGCCATTTGTAGCCAGAGAACAACAAGACTGGTTATCACCCGAGGAAATCTGAATGCCCGGCGATACGGGGATGAAGTGTTGAGATCTTTTGTGGTGCCCTTTATTCGACAACAGTCAAGAGGAATCATTTTGCAGCACGACAACCCAAGGCCTCACACCGCCAGAATTGTTCGAGAATACCTGCACAACGTTAACGTCAACGTATTGCCTTGGCCAGGGCGTTCTCCAGACATGAACCCCATGGAACATCTCTGGGATCATCTTGATCGTCAGCTGAGGCAACGTGTACCACGTGCACCTACAGCGAACCGACGGGAACTTGAACAAACTCTCTTGGACTTATGGAACAAGATTCCTGCTGACGTCATCCGCCGACTGAAGACGTCAATGGGGAGACGTTTCTTGGTCAGGGTGGTCACAGTCGCTATTGATAATGTGACTCCTGTGTCATAATGTGACTCTTTATGCACTTTTTGAATGAACTGTGTTTTGTGTAATTTTGATCCCTTGACTCTTTCTTAAGGAATTGCGGCAAATGCATAACCAGCATTCTGTGAAATTATTGGACAATGATTTCTGTTTGCAGAATAATTATAAGAAATTTCACATACGTCTTTGCTTCTATTTTGTGGTCAAGTGAAGTCGGTGATAACTTTCTTTTGCCCGGTGGTTTATGTTTGTTCCAGATCACTTTCAGGGCAAACATTTTTAAAAATCTGGAAATAGTGACCTAAAATATGTTCTGACACGCACGCACACACAAAAGAGCTACTGGCTACACGTGCACTTACCGCCTGGCTGTAGTGGCGTCAGGGCCAAGCAGGTACTTGAAGCCGGAAATACCGATGTTGTGAGCCAGGTACTGCAGTGACGGCTCTGTCACCTTCATCGTCGACGAAGTCTACGCGTCAAGTAAAAAAACCCATTCTAAGTTGATTATGTGCTATGTAAATGGACAATTCAATAAAATGCATTCACGCACAAAAATCCCAAGTTGTGCTTAAACGATCAAATTATATACTTTGCCCTCTGTAGAACAAATCTGATTTACAGCAAGGATGCAGCGTTGATGGATGAGGAGCAACACACGTTTATCACTGATATCTGAATTTCGGATTCTATGGTTCAAGGACTGTGAGCAACCTTTGATAATGGACAGTACATTATTTGTATGGCTTGTATCCAATGCATCAATCAAAGGACTTCATGTATCTCTGAGTTCGTGTTCAAGAACTGAACAGAGGGTTGTTATCCGTCTTTTTATATCCTTTGCTTGATGAATACGCCCTCCTGTATGCAGCCTGCATACAGAACACCCGCCGGTACGGATGACAGTCCGGTCCTCGACGCCACATCTTGCTGTGTTAAGCTTCCCTTTCCTTTGATGCCTGTCGTTATGGAAACGAGAAACGAGTCTAAGGCTCCCTAATTGCCAGGAACCTATGATCGTGGGTTCGAATCCAGAATTATGTTTTTAGGTTTGATAGCATCGGGACCGTGCTTACGGGTTTCACCAAAATGGTATATCACTTCAAGCCTTCCACTTGCATTTGAAGTGTACTCCAAAACGGTGTGTTGGTTGATGTTTCGTTTTATAATAAACTCACGGGCGAAAGAAACGTCACCAAAATTTTTAAAAAATATCTTTTATCGTACACTAAGTGATTATTCATATCTGTAGTTCACACTTTCATCATTCAGAATGTTGTAGATCATCCATTAATTTTCCAAATATGATTGTTAAATTTCCAAAATCTGAGTTTGTTGTTTTGTGACATGTTAAAAAGGTGGGGTGACGTTTCTTTCGCCCGTGAGTTTATATTATCAAATAATTATCTTAAATTTCTAAATTCACTGTTGAATCTTATTTCAGGTATACAAGTTTACAAACAATTGTATAGAAAGTGAGTGAGTGAGTTTAGTTTTACGCCGCTTTTAGCAAAATTCCAGCAATATCACGGCAGGGGACACAAGAAATGGGCTTCACATATTGTACCCATGTGGGGAATCGAACCCGGGTCTTCGGCGTGACGAGCGGACGCTTTAATCACTGGGCTACACCACCGCCCCATAGAAAGCTAAATAAGGGTTTACAAAGTAAAATTTGAGTTACGATTTTCGCGAACACTTGGTGTCGTCAATGTTTTCAGCTAACCATTCATACAATTGTCACAGCTATTGTTTCCATTACACCAATGTTTTCAGCTAACCATTCATACAATTGTCACAGCTATTGTTTCCATTCATACAATTGTCATAGCTATTGTTTCCATTACACCAATGTTTTCAGCTAACCATTCATACAATTGTCACAGCTATTGTTTCCATTCATACAATTGTCACAGCTATTGTTTCCATTCATACAATTGTCACAGCTATTGTTTCCATTCATACAATTGTCACAACTATTGTTTCCATTCATACAATTGTCACAGCTATTGTTTCCATTGTTTCCATTCATACAATTGTCACAGCTATTGTTTCCATTCATACAATTGTCACAACTATTGTTTCCATTGTTTCCATTCATACAATTGTCACAAGCTATTGTTTCCATTGTTTCCATTCATACAATTGTCACAACTATTGTTTCCATTGTTTCCATTCATACAATTGTCACAGCTATTGTTTCCATTGTTTCCATTCATACAATTGTCACAGTTATTGTTTCCATTCATACAATTGTCACAACTATTGTTTCCATTGTTTCCATTTATACAATTGTCACAACTATTGTTTCCATTGTTTCCATTCATACAATTGTCACAGCTATTGTTTCCATTCATACAATTGTCACAGCTATTGTTTCCATTCATACAATTGTCACAGCTATTGTTTTCATTACACCAAACGGATTTATTTCGGAGGGAAGTTAAGACTGGCATTCTTTTGCCCTGACGTTCTACATTTAATCAGTTTTAATGTACATTGGTAGAATTCTTACGATCACTAGGGGTATTACTGTACGAGGTTGAAACAATCTTATGTAACCTCGAAAGCCTCAATTCTAGCCATTTTTTTACATTGGACAATAACGTCTGCTGGTGATGGTTTCCACTCTCAGATTCATCCCGGTTATAATCTTTGGGGTGTCAGCACCATCGCCACGCCCGTTAAACGACGACGACGACAACCGGCGTCACCTCAGACGTTCCTCTCGCACAAATAAGTCATGTCGGAAATAGTTGAAATACCCTTCAAAGACATCAAAACAAACTTCCGCACTAACTTCCTACATAATAATAAGGACAGCAGTTATCATGATGTTTGAAAATGAATATAAGTAAAAAAAAACATATACTCACACGACAGAACGATAGACCGACTGCAGTTCTCTGCCGAAGCTACCAGAGCGGGAAGAGTCGGGTGTTTTATAGAGCGGTTTGCCATCGATCTATGGTAATGTTTACATGACTGGCTGTACAGGAGATACATAACAGAGTTGGTGTGATATAGAATTTTGTTAACGCGGGCATGAACAGAACTTCGGCTTTATGCAGAATGTTGGTGAAAGGTGCAAGATTAAATTCCTGAGTAGTAAGTGAGTGAGTTAACATTTAACGTCGCATGAAAAGAGCCAGCGTTCTGATGGGACATATTTCAGATTATAGCCAATCAGATCGCGGGGCAGGTCAAGGCCAAGGTCAAATAAGAACATCGGTAATGATAAAGTATGGTTACGAGAGGTCGTAACGTTACGAACGTTTGTGCATTGGGACCCAATAATTTTGGCTAGGAATCGAGAAATTGCGGTTTTCAGAGGTTCCGAAGACCCTAGCTCCCAAAGTAATTCTTGGATTTTTGTCCTTAATGTCTCATTTTGTGTGTAAATATTTTGACTTGGTATGCGTGCATAATTCTAATGGGGTATATACAGTGAGCATTGTTGAATTTGCCCTGAAGCGATCTCGTTACATCCCTTTCCGTTTTCCGTATATACCTTGATACCAGTATTTTGTTACAAGCCCCCGTGATGAAACCAATTTTTCACATATACACAAATCTAAAAATGGAAAATAAAAAATAAAGAAGAAAGTCTATTATAAATTCATAGTTATTTTTACAAGCAAAATATGCTTGACGGGGAATTTTCATCGCAAAGGATACACTTAATAGGGTCATCCTTGTGTGTTTTAAGCAGATATCCGTGGGTAAACCGACCATGGCAAATACGACATCATCGTAAAATGACTGATCATGACAACCCGTGTAGGCAAGGCCGAGTTTGGTGTAAATTCATGGAGTTGATGATTTCTACTTGGCTACCCTACTGCTTTAGCATAGTTTTAATCACTATACATACGATATAGGATGAGAAGGTAACGGTTTGTCTATGCTATACCAACAGTACTGTTTCCTGCCATTGCTGTGGCCTACACCGCCCCTGCTACTCTGGTCTCCTATTGCTGCGGCTAAGGTTACCCTAGTTTACTATTATACTAGCCTACTATTCGGGTCTAGTGTTGCTGTAACTGGAGCTGTATCCGCTATTGTTGCAGAAAATTCATTTAAAAATGAAGTATACTTTTCGACTTTTCAAGAAAAGAAACTGACTACCACAAAACCTAAGTTGTTACACAGTATATTTCTTTTAAAATATTTGGTCTCACATTTTTATTTAAACATATGAGTTGGGGTTGGTGTTATCTGAAATAATCTTTATTCAACCTACAAAATCCCTAGCCCCCAACTCACAGAATATCAAATACTTGGTCCGGAAACCGTCCACATTATAATGATCGACCCGAGGAGTAATCCAAGTAATTTATCATACCAAACTATTTGCATGTCGAGTTGTTATAAAACAAACGCTGACGGCAATTAGCAGTTCTCAAAGCTCGTAAGCGCATCAACAAACACATTAAATCTTTATCGTCAACTGATGGCGTTTTGGGCTACGAACACATTCGATATACCGGAGTCTTCTTTCTTTATGGTCACTTAGAAAGTATTGGATACACCATTACTGCAGTTGTTCCTAAGTACCCAATTATTTACATAACGGTCATACAATATCACACTGTTGTCATGCTAAATGATCAGCATCCGTTTGAATACTGAACATTTACCAAAAGGCAAATATGCAAGAAAACCCTATACGAGTTCACTATGTTAAAGTGTAAGAAGATATTTCTTGGGAAATTGCACGTTTTTATTATGGTCCTCAGTTATCATTTTGATGATTTCTTTATCTTTCCATCATGCAAAAAACGATTCTCATAATTGATGTGTCAAGTGTATATTGTAATAGGGTGGCATCTGATCATCCCTATCAACGGTCGAGTAGTATATTTCAGTGTGATGACGTTTACGTTGTCTTTTTATGTTTTGAACCACAAGTGTGTCTCTCTACATTGTCTTTCATTGTGGATCAGAGGTTGCTTTGAAGATGTAGTCTCCAGTCACATAAATACCCACACTCCGGCGCAGTGATGACAGCATAACATCACTCCCACAGGCTAATTTGCATATCACGTGACCGGACCTTTCTCTTGTTTGTAAACAAACGCGTATATTCATAATAAGAAGAGACTGGCCTTAGGCAAGCTTTTCGGCGCGCTCTTCACGATGTTTTACATTGTACATATATATTCTTCCACAAATACGACAGTAAGGTTTATGACAGTACATATTTAGATATCAATCTGGTTGCATCGTTTGCTCTCCATCAGCTTCGATGACAGCACGTGGCGCCGTACAACCTATGTAAACAAAGGATCACTACACAAATCGAAATAGTGTTACATGTGTTAAGATATTTTCTCAGTGAAACTCAACCATTCTATCAAAGATGTTTAATTGGATGTGTAGACTCGTCAAAAATAAAGGAGTTAAGAAATATGTAGATTATGTTGAATGGACGGTGCAAGATGTAACGAATCGTCACAG